ATATATATATGCACACACATGTATGGGTGCAGGAATGTATTTATGTGTGCATATCATTCTGCTTTTCCTCGCTTTACCATTTGGATTTATTGCATTTTAATTACAAGACTATATTTTCAGAAAAATTATCCCAGATTTGAAAAAAGAGATTTATAAGGTATATGATTCTACACGAGATTTTAGAGATAACTGCTCTGATTTTAAAAACTCCATGGAATTGGTAACATAGGATTCTTAGAAAAATTAATGTCTGAGAAGGTATAATTCTTCAGGACTCTGAAACTTTCACCATAAGTTATTTTAATAAGGATAAAGATCTCCTAACCCTTTCCTAGAGTATAAGAAAATGATTTTTTTATTCTTTCCACCATGAAACAAGGTAATCATGATGTCCACTCAGGGAACTAGAGGAGGGAGACTTTTTTTCTAGATATGTTATGTTAGAAACATTCTCCTAAGGTCTCAGCCAAAATCCCCAGGCAATGGACCACTTAGCCTCAACTGGAGCTCTACAGAAAGTTTCATAAAGTCACAGTTTTTCACAGGTCAGAATTCTGAGGTCCAGAAAGTTCCCTTACCATGAGCACACATGTAGAAAGTAGCAACTCTGACATGAAAACCTGCCCCCTACTTTACAATTAAGGATCAGGGATAATGTCAATATCAACAATACCAACTGGGCTGGGGATTTAGCTCAATGGTTCTGCTGCCTGCCTTGCAAGTGCAAGATCCTGAATTTGACCCTGGCACCCCCCCCCTAAAAAAAAAAACAACCAAAAAGCAATACCAATCGAAGTCAGAACCAAAACTTCTATATGCTTGTGTAAACTCTTTAAATGCAGGGTCTCATAATCCTTCCAGCAATGCTATGGGGTAGATGTTATTGTCTGCACAAGGGGATACACCTGAAGCAGCAGAGAAGATATGAGTAACTGTCCAAGTGGTGGAACCAAGATTCAAACACAGAAGCATCCAGATCCATTTCACCAGGAAGGAATTCGGGAGTTTTCCCATTTCCACGTGACCCTGCTTGTATGGACTCAGACTCGCTATTAATACAGGTGAGGTCCTTTGAGGAATGACCCTACCTAGCTCTTTTAAAATACATTCTGGCTGGTCACCTGGGCAGCCAGTAATAATGCTGTGAACTGTGCAATGCAATGAGTCCTGCTCAGGCACATTTGTCAGGGGCTGTCAGTGGCTTTGCTTAGAGGCTAGAGTAGAATATGAAGAAACCATTATTTTAGACTTGCAATGTAGAAGTTCAGACAGTCGAATACTGACGTTCAGCTAGCTTTAGCTTTCTACTTTTTCCTCCTATTTTTCACACTTAATGGAATAACACCAATTATTTACATTTTATGACTGTAGTTCAAATAATAGAATGCAATTGGTGCTTAATCTGCACTGTGCTGAAGCTAGAAGATGACAGACACAGGAGGGGATGTAGACGGCTACCTTGGCCCTTACGAAGAAAGACTGTTAAGGGCTCAGGATCTGGCGGTCATGCCTTACCACTTTCATTCCCATTAGCTGTCTGCTCTGTGGGCATTTCCCTTTGGTAGGCACCTCCACGGGAAGAGAAAGAGTGAAAAAAAGGAGAAAAAAAGCCTTCATCCATTCTATTGAATCCTGTCAGTGTACAGTCATGGACGGCGGAGAAGAAAAGCCCTATGAACATAAGCAAGGCTGCTTACTCGCCTTCTAAGCTTCACTTAGTTGAGAGATCTACTTGTAGCAAGGCTACACAAATCCTACTGAGGAAGGGGAATCCTGCAAACACTTTAATTTCTATTAAGAAGCCTCTAGGAGGAGCCTTCTGTCTTAATTTATAGAAACATCAAGGAATCTTTATCTTTAGTTCCTCTCAGCTCTTATGGCAAGCCATTCACGTTTCCCCCTACCTGTCGATATAAAACCATCTTTCCTGTTTCTGGTGCTAATTTAACCATTTTTAAACTTGCAAGGGTGTTTTGGTAAACTATTGGAATTAGATTAATTTTCATCTCTGTAAGTCTGTGAAATTTCAATGTAAAGAATCAAAATATTAAGAAACAGTTCTCCTGAAGGCAAAGAGACTCAGAAGGAGAATTAGAGAACAGTACAAAGTCACAAAGAATTTTAGTTTTACAATGGACACTCTTGACTCCTAATTACTGCTGTATTCCGTATGAGTACCCCGTATTGCTGCAGCTACACTTTCCAGATGCTCCTAAGAGCTCTAATATTTTTCGTAGACTTGTTACACTAAAAACAATCTACTTAAATCTCAGCTGGAATTCCCCAGGGACTGCATCACTTAACCGTAAATGGAACTCTAGAGAAAGTCTCCTAAAGTCACGCCATTTTACAGATCAGACTTTCAAGGTCCAAGATGTTCCCTTAAAGTGGGCACACATACGATATGTGGCAACACTGGCATGGAAACCTGTCTGACAATCAGATATGGAGGCGATATTTGAAGTTTTAATAAGTTACAGTAGTTACTGTCTGCTCCTTTCAGAACCTTTCTAGGGCTTTATGTGCTTAAGAATAAATGGTAAATTTGGCTTTTGGGGATTCGTTCAAGCTCTCCTGGACTGGCTGAGCCATCAGACAGATGTCCTTTGTGGAGGGGGGGGAGTACTGAATTTGAAAGCCCAGGATACATCTGTAAGGAAACGGAAAATGGGGGACTGTCCTAGAATGCTATACTCATAAGCTCTAATTATCCACACAAACTGTAAATTTGGCTTTTGGGGATTCGTTCAAGCTCTCCTGGACTGGCTGAGCCATCAGACAGATGTGCTATGTGGAGGGGGGGAGTACTGAATTTGAAAGCCCAGGATACATCTGTAAGGAAACGGAAAATGGGGGATTGTCCTAGAATGCTATACTCATAAGCTCTAATTATCCACACAAATAGATTTCAAAGTTAAGTGGTGAATACTTTTTTAAAAATTCATTTGCCTATGGAAATGAGAGGCATAATTTATTTTGGCAGCAGATCCCCCTTGCTAATTATATTTTTCATAGGATTAAATTTAAATTAATCTTCATTCCTGATCATGCAGCAGCTGGGATGTGAAAATCTTCCTGGGGGGGTAAACGCTGCTAGGTCAAGAGTTTTCCAAAGACAAGCAGAAATGGGACACCTCCTCCTGGTACAGAGGCTGAGAGAGTGGCCATGAAACCAAGACAGCTGGCAAGTGTTTGGCTTAGAAAAGGCTGAGGGTGGGGGTAGAAATTTAGAACCTTTTCAGCCATTGCTATCCCAGAAACAGATTCAAATCAATGCCAGCAATGTCCTACTTGATATGAAGTAGGAGGTGACTCATAGCCAACAACTACTTGCTATTTTTTTGTTTAAGTCTGTTGTCAGTACTTTGTTTTCTAGCAATGCCTTTTGTGTCTCTTCAGCTGTGGTGAGAACTGCAGCAAGTATCAGTCTATAACAAGTAACCATTAAATATCACTACATCCATCATATCCTGTTAACTCTTGCCATGAGGAAAGATGGGAAGAAATGAGCTTACGAAACACACATGAGGGAAAAGGGAGAAAATAATACACCCCTGTGATATATATACAATTTCATAACTAAACTCCATGTTTAGGGACAACATTCATTTGAATTGTGCACATATTCTCTTCTGAACCACCCTAAGAGTAACGGCTTTCCAAGAAAATAACATTTTTTCATGCTCAATTTCACCTAGAAGGAAAAGAACACAACCTATCTACATGAGATAGGTAATGATTCCGTGAGGGAAAACTAGAAGCCTAATCTCTGGAAAAGTTAGTCATTTAGAAAACTTTACAAAAGGATGTCAAAATATGCATGCTTCTTGTGAGCATCAGAATAGCATTTGGAACACACTTGTGCAGTTAGGGATCTTGGAATTATAACACTCTCCACAACCTAAAAAGATGATAACAATTTGTGTAATTATTGTACTATTTTCTGCTATTTTCTCACCAGAATACCATTTTAATGGGATAGCATTTAATGATTTTACTTGCAGATATGATTTTTTTTCAGGCTATGTGACACTTGGGTGAAGAGAATACCCATAATTTAAATTAAAATACCCATATTAAAATGGCCATCTCTCTTCCCACGCATGATGAAAGGATATGATCTCTTTAATTTTGTGACTTTTTAAATTTTTGTCCAGTGGTATTAAATGGGAGCCTAGAGCTGTCTTCCTTTGACACTTTCCATTTCAGAAAATTATCTCAATCTGCAGAAAAGAAGAACTTACAATGTGTAGTAAGCAGTGTGAACCACTCCCTGACTTAAGGCAGACACAATCTTTCTAGGGGATGTCTTTTCCCCTCTTTTAATTAAACTGTGTAAAATCATTGTAAGTACAATGTAACATGGTCCTTGGTCTAAATTACACAAAAATTAGAGCTAAGTGATTCACAAATGATGGCAGAAATGGGCGCATAAGCCTTTAATTAAGGTTCTAAAAAGAGAAAGATTTAATTCTGTAAAATGTCACTGGGGCTTTTATATATCTTTTAGAATGTATTTTAACAACACTAAAAGTGGCTATGCAGTTACTACTGTAAAAATGGTTTGCTACATAAAGGAATTTGTTATATATAGAACTAATCTATTATCGCCGTACATCAAAATAATTAAAAAGTTGTAGATCTCTCATGAATGACTAATTATAACCTTAGTCTATAAAGGGCAAGGAACTCTGGGATGCTATGTCAAAACCACCTGGAATTGTAGTATTATTCAGGAAAAGAAATATGATACATATAATACATTATAGACAGCTATTGCTTCTATCCAAAATAACTACACCAGTAAGAGAAAATTTCTTTCCAACACACTTTAAAATAAGCAGAGGGCTGGGTATTTGGCTCAGTGGTGCCCGCGCCTGCCTTATATGTACAAGGTCCTGAGTTCGATCCGTAGTACCCTCCAAAAAAAAAAAGAAAGCAGAGAACAAATTTACCTTAAGCCCTAGTTAGGGAAAATTCCCTCAAACCCTGAATTTAAACAGGCTCACACACAGATACTCACATCAATACATTATGGTATCAGAATACATCTTATTTGCATCTGATCTTCTTCCTATACAGGCTGATAACACATAATAAATGGGTTTTCACTGCTATTCTTGTGCTACTCTCAAAGGAGACTACAGCAATGTCCTTTCTGAAATTAGTAAGTTTAGCCCAATCCACAGTAATGATTATGGACCTGAAACAAAAAACACTGCATTTTATGTTTTTCAAAAAATGACTAGTTTGGTCATCTATCCAGGTTGCTAATATTCCTCTTTATGGAAAAGCTTCTCAGCATGACTAATTCCCTCTTGAAGCTAACTAGGAAAATTAGCATATTCCTATTGATTATGTATTTTGGGGGTGGTTAGGAAATCTCTGTATTTCACAGAAAATAATAAGAGTGCTTCTTGCAGATATTCTGGAAAGACCAAAGGACCTCTATTATTACTCAGTGAAAGACTGCAGATGAGAGGTAAAACATGGCAAATTGCTTTAGCATTAGAAAGTAAGAAAGTAAAAATGAAATTGTAAAAGGCAACACAGGGTCTTTTGGTTTTTTGGTGTTTCTGTACAGTGAAGATACACCTTAAGCTGTCAGAACTGTACTAAATGGGGTGTAGTTAAATGGAGTGCCTTTGATAAGGGCTCTACCGGGCTATCAAAGTTTTCTATCAGCTGGATTGAATTTCTGGCATATTGCGCATTTCCGCATATTCCTTTTCTCCCTTCCCTTTCAGTGACACTACAAGGGCAGCCGTAGATATGCTTATAACTTGTGGTTTTATAATGCAGGGGATATCTATGTTTTCAAAGAAGTAATGATAATGTGGAAGCCAAGAGCAAAAAGAAAGATGAAAGAGTGAAAATTTTGGCAATAAACACAGTCTGCTTGTGATTTCAGCGTTTGAGGGAAAGGCCTGATAGCTGTTTGGAGTCAAGACTTATTTGAGTAGAAACAACTTTAATGTGCAATTTTCTCAAATTAAATTGTATCTGTGAAACTCTGATTCAAGGAATGCTAAGTATCAATAAATAATTATAATACTTAATAACTAATGATTCCAACCACGATTACTTAGAATCTCCTAGAACCTTATCAGAAAAAACTGCATAATTACTTCACATTTCAAGTTTTCCCTCTGATGATGGTGTCATATAATTACTACGTTTCTTAAGCTCTTTAATAGTGTGTAAAAATACATGGCCACAGTGAATTCCATACAGAAAACTGTTTTTGATTTATGTAGTTTAAAACTTACTAAAGGAACAATGAGTACCATGAAATCAATTATACAAGCATATATATGAATTTTAAGGCATGTAAGAGCAATTGAAAAATAATTACTTAAAGCTACCATGTCCTAGGGAAATATAAAATATAACAGTGCTTATTTATTTTTTGTTACACTTTTTTTTTCCATGCAGGGGATGGAACCCACAGTGTGATCCTCTAACACTGAGCTACATCCCTAACCTAACCTACTATTTTTATGTTTTCATTCTTTTTTTTTTTTTGAGTACCTGGGATCAAACTCAGGACCTTGCACTTGTGAGGCAGGCAGGTGCACCTCCACTGAGCTAAAGTCCTGGACCTGACTGTATTTTTAAAGAAAGTCTACTCCCCAAATTCTGGATTTCATAATTGACACTAAGTTCCAGAAGTCATTCTTGGACTTAACACTGCCCGGGTAAAATGAACTACTACGTATCACTCTGATAAAAAATAAATGACACTTAAATCACCGGAAGAGCTGATACAAAGCTTCTGTACATAGGGAGGGGAGGGGAGGGGACTTGAGGGGGTGCGGAATGGGATAAAATACAATTTATTTTAAAAAATGAACTTTCTTAATTTGTTTAGCACTTTCATTTTAAAAATTACATTCACTCCTTTTTGTTGCTGCTGATGTTGGAAATCAAAAATAAATTTCCACCACAAGGTATAATTTGAAGATGACACTGGTAGTATCATTTGACTGCAATGCACTGCGATTATACCATTGTTCTGAAAATAGACTGAAAAGAGCAGCATGCCTCGAGGCGGCCAACTCCCTTGCAGTTGTCATCAAGATTTCTCTTTTGAAAAAAATCTTTTTTTCTTTAGCTTTTTTCCTGTACCTCATAGCCATATCTTATTAGCAAAAGGTAAAAAGAACCCAGACAGAAAATCTCAGATTGAAGCACTTCATAACCAGGATGGTGAGCACCTACCAGGGAGTCTCTGGCTATTTCCATATCCACTTTGGTTTTGATGTTTTTCTTGTGGCTTCCTTGAGTGCTGATAGAGCTGCCAGTGAGACAGGAGCCCTGGGAGCTGCCCTTTAACACGTTCCTGCAGGAAACATTATTTGATCCATTTTCTGTCTGTTGAGTTCCTTTCTTATCAACTCTGCAGGTAGAAAGTGATTCCTCTGGTAAGTTACATTGCCCTTCTTCAATCACACTCCTTTCTCCAACCTTTTAATGTTTAAAGTAACCTGCATATAGCTCTTTGTCTTTAAACCTTTGAGTGGTAAGTGTGACTCACTAGCCTTGATCGAATCTTCAAATATTCCAGCAGTATGTCAATTTAGATCTGACGCTATCATAATTTATTTTTTATTTTTATGATTGATTATGGACAGGGGCAAAATAAAACCCACTGAAGAGTGCTTGCTAAATACATTTCTGGCTTAAGATAGGCATGAAAAGTTATTATTTCTGGAAAGTTTCTAAGTATACATTTGCTCAGTATAATCAATGAAATTGCATGCTTTAAGATGTATGTGTAATTTTCTTCCATTTCATGCCATGTGGGTACATTCATGGCTCCTAGTGCAGGTTGAATTTCTATCAACCTTGATAAAACTTACCATTCTTTAATTTCAAAGACCATTGGTTTGGTTAACAAAGTAACATGGACTAAATTATCATTTTATTGCTAAGTTTTATTTCATTGTTTAAATTCTGGCTAATGTACAAAAGACTGCTACTCTGCATTTCTATGTGTATGAAAACCATGCTTGGCTGGTATTTAATGTGCAGGAAGCAAACCTCTCTCTTTAAGGGGATAAGGGGGACTCTCCCACACCCCTCTACACTGTCAGCCTGTTTGCCAGTGACCTACCTGTTCAAAAGTTCTGTCATAAAGGTATCTTTTGTTGAACATGTAACGGGGCTGGGTGTGTTTTCTGCTCCAAAGTTCATTTGGTTGTACATATCATGTGACAACTTCATGTTAGTTTTGCTTTGCAATCCACTGTCAGGACTATCTGCCAACGTGGGGTCCCTGTGAAGCTCATTTTCAATCTCACACTGTGGCTCAGGCTTCTTTTTCTCTTTCTTTCTTTCTGATTTCAGTTGTTTGTTTCCAAACCCCAAGACTTTCACATCTTTCCTTTCCACCTTGGTTTTGGAGAAGTCCATTTTCCTGCTACTGAGGGCTGGAAGCCTACTCTTTCGAAAACCAAACCAGCTGGCAAAAGAAGGCCCTGGCTTAGGTTTTGCTTCCACAGAGGTGGACTTTGTTTGCACTTGGCCCTTTTCCACATTTTCCTGAATGCACAACATGACCTTTTCTTCGATTGTGGGTGAGAGGGGGGCTTCTGGGCTTACAGCACCAGTCCTGGTTGTACAGACATCTGGATGTCTTCCAGAAATTTCTGGCTTGGAAGTCCTGCTTGTTTCTAAGATGCTTGGACGCACTGTCCTTCCTGGGGCCTGAGGCACTCGAGGGCAGTCTTTTGGAGTAAGTGGGCCCCTGTATGGGTCACTGCCTGGTTCCTCAGGTAGAGCCACACTGGTACATTCTTCCCCCATGTAAATCTGCTGGTCTTCTGTTCCAGGCTGGGTTTGGAGTCCTTCAGTCTTTGGGGGGATTCTCAAAGGCAGCTTGTTTGGGCTCCCATGCTGGCTGCTGGTGCTGCCAGTGCTCCCCAAGGACCCTTGCCTGGAGAAAGAGCGCCCAGCACAGAGAAGACTCTCAGGTGCTGGAGCAGAATGAGTGTTGCTAGGGGAGCCCTCCGTGGAGGTGTTGTGCCGCGTCAGAGAGTTGCCTCTCTCTGCTGTGTTCGTAATAATCTGAGTTCGGATTTTGCCTGCCCCTTCCACAGCCGGTGGTGAGGCTTTGTCTCCTGAGTGAGCACTGAAGCTCTGGCTTCGGGCTTTGGCGCCATTCATGCCTAGGGCAGGCTTTAGATGTGGCTTGCTAGAAGAAAGGGATCTTTTCACGGACCTGTTTTCTATTCCATCTCTTCTATCAGCCTCAGGGATGCCATTTTCCAGTGACTCTGGTAGCACTGTTTCCAGGGGAAGTCCTTCAGCTAACCTGTCTGGTGTGTGCAAACCTGGTGTAAGGGAGTTTCTTTCACACCCTGTGGCCTCCAGGTTTGCTGGATTCCTGGAGTCCTCAAGTTTAGGCCTGCTTGGAGCTACACAGCTTTTAGAAGCTTCATTTAAACTATCTTTTTCATGTTTCCCCGGCACTGTGGAACTTTTCCTGAGCAACTGGGGAGACTTCATGAGAACTTTGAGCCCCACTGGGAGGCGAGTTTTCAGTCCTTTCTCACGAGCATTTTGACAACCATGTGGGGTGCTATGGCCTTTAGAGGAAGAGGAGGAGGATATGGAACTGCTAACCTGAGATGATGGTGACTCATTTGCCCCTAAGAAGAAAGGCTTGGGGGATGCATGGATACTGTCATTCAATTGTCTTCTTCCAGGAGACATGCTCTTGGAGGTCAGTGTCTCCAGTGGCTCATGAGTTGAAGGACAAGTCTTAGGCACCCGTAACCCTGTGTCCACGTGTGTGGTTCCAAGTGTTTGGTGAGGAGAAGTTTTGGGGACACCTTTCTTTGGAGAGACCTTTGGGAGCCCTGGTGTGATCATGGGAAATGAGCTGGAGGAGGCATGAGCAGGGCATCCAGGGTGAATCACTGTCTCTGTGGAAGGCAGAACATGAGGAAAAACAGGCTTTTTGAAGGCCATGGAAGGTTTCTTCTTCTGCACTTCTGCTGTAGCCTGATTAGAAGAAATGATTGGAGCAGAAGCTCCTTTCAGCAGGGAGGATTTGGAAACCATTCTTGCTGCGTCACTGGGAGCCCTGCATTCCGGTGTGGCTGAGGAAGGTGGTGATGGACAGTCGTGACGGGGCCTGACCAGAAGGGAGACCAACCTGCCTGGAGGAGGGGGTGGTGGGGAAGCAGATGCCATCCCTGCCTCTGGCCCAGAAGCACAGAGTTTATCCCTTGTGGGGGGCTCTCCACTGTCACCAGGCTCAATGAGCAGCCTTGATCTCGACCCTGGAGCCTGATGTTTGGAGCACTGAGCCCAATCCCTTCTGCTGGCCATTTTGGGGCCATGAGACAGGTGTCGGGGGAGCTTTGGAATGTGTGAATCTGGTGGTACCTCACAGAGGGACCCTATATTCTCAGTCTTCATGAGCTGTGCAAGTTTCCCTGGAAGTAAGGCTGGTGATTTTTCAAGAGTCGCCGGGCCAGATGAGGGGACTAGTGTGGAGCCTTCAGGCTCTGTTATTTTTGACTTCTGAGATGAAGACTTGCCCCTGGCAGGTATTTTTGTCAGATTTTGCTTTTGATAGATACTACTAGGTGCCACAGACCTCGAAGTACTGTGACATGACATACTGTGTGTTGGTTTAGCCAGCTTTTGTTTGACATTTTGTGTTACTGTTCTGGAGCTGAGTGGGCCAGTGGGAGCTGAGGAAACACTGTCTACACCACCTGTTGGAATGTTTTTCTCAGTTTCTTCTTCAGATCTCTTTAGGAAAACACAGTCTTTTGCAGTGGCCCCTGGATATAAATGAGCAATTCCCTGAGGTAAAAGTTCAGTGTGTTCTGCTGTGGGTCCAGCAGGGGTTGTGCTAATGGAAATCTTATTTCTGGTAACAGTAAGAACTCCAGTCTGATGTGAGCTGAATTCAAAAGGTTCTCCATCTTCTGAATCAAATATTACAGTGATACATTCTTCCGAAGAAGTCCTTTTTACAACCCTTTGCTGCTTAATGAAACTAAATGTCTTTGGCCTAGCTTCTAATTGGGTGGGTACTTGTTTTTCTTCCTCATCAGGGGACCCATGTTCAGATTTCTCAAGTCCTATATGGATGTCCAGGTTCTCCATGGACTTGTCAGTGTCAGCAGTCAATGACAAGTCCGAAGGGCTCTTCTCGTCACTGCTCTCTATGTGCAATTCGTCGAGGGTCTCATTGTCATCTGTGTCTGAAAGCTGAGGAATGAGAGCAGCGTCACGGCCTTGGCTGTGCAGATCCCTGTCCCGCTGTAACAGAGGCACCTGTACCCGTGGGCACAGCTTCCTATCCAACGGACCCTTGTTAGCACGAGTCAGCTTTTCAGGCCTTTCCCTGGGGTAAATTGAAGATGTGCCTCCTGCAAAGTGTTTTCCATTCAGCTCCCAGCCAAAGAGACTGTCAGAAACACTGTGGGTTAATTTGCTGCCATGCAGCCTGCAGCCAGGGTTCGGAACTGCTTGCAGCAGTGCTAGGGAAGAGGAGTCATCATCGGTAACCTCATGGGAATCTGCTTCATAAGCAAATGTCTGGTGGGACTCCTGGCAGAGGCTCCCCACACCTGGTGGCTTGCAGGATGGATATTCCTTGAGGCTGCTACTCTTAATTCCTGGAGAATATATTCCTTCATTCGAGTTCATGCAATCTTTATAACCCCATTTGGTTATCACTGATGACGGTTCAAGTGACACTTTTCGCTTCTGGAGCTTTCTCAGTCCTTCCAAAATGTGGCTTTCCTTGATCCGAGTTGGAGGTAGCTCATCTGCAGGACTAGCAAAGCCACTTGGGAGCGAAGAATCAATACTTCGCCTTTTATCCCAATTCTGTGATGGTTGCTGGGAAAGAAAAGCAGATATCAGAAATGATTGAGCCAGGCAGATGTCAAATGTATAAAAGGAAAAGCCCATCATTAGACTTAATTTGTGCTACTGGTTGATAGGTACTCACATAAAAATGCAGCTTATGCAAAGTTAATGTGCAGTAAGTATTGATTCTGCCAGGTCCTGTGCTAAGCAGTACAGCAAAATAAAGAGAAAGAAGGTGATGACCCTGTCTTCAAGGAGCAAAAAGCCCAGTAGGGGACAGGAATTTTCCCACAGCGACATGTATATCGTGGAAAGGGGAGGTGCAGTATGTTGAGTGTCTCTGGTTCACAGGAGGGGAGCCTATGGATCTGTTTGAAAAACTCATGAAAGGCATAGAAAAAAGCAACTTACCTAGCTCTTGAAAGACAGCTAAATTTCCCTCAGGGTAAAAATGGGGTAAATGATTTCTAGGTTGAAGAGATGGAATGGGCAAAGATCTAAGTCAGGGAGGTAGGTTCAAGGTACAATTAGGGGACAACAGCTGTCGATATAAAGCATCAAGGAGAGGTGGAGGAGGTAAAGCCAGAAAAGTAAGTTGGTCCATATTGTTATGTCCTTGCCAATCTAATTTTTTTTTTTTTTTTTTTTTTTTGTACCAGGGATCGAACCCGGGACCTTGTGCTTGTGAGGCAGGCAGCAGCACCACTGAGCTAAATCCCAGCACACCAACCTAATTTTTGATCATTGTTTGAGTTTACAAATATCTATGAAAAAAATTCCTGAAGTTACTGCATACATAAGCATATACATACATACAAACTTACGTATAACAGCTGGGCATTTGCAGTTAGAACCCTATGGTAATTATTCTCCAACAAACTTAGAAAGGTCACATTCCTGCCCTTTGTACCTCCTAAATGCCAGCTTTAGCTTTGGAAAAGTATATGGAAAATGAGACAGGAAAAAGACTGCATTCTATACACTCATATTTTTCACATTATTGACAGCAAAAAATGGAAAGGCAAAAGGAGAGAAATAACATTCACCAAGTATTTGTTGTATGCCGACCACTTTCCCAGTGCTTTAACTGCATTTTTAGGACATTACCTTGAAGGAGACATTATTCTTCCTATTTTACTAAGCTGAAAAGTGAGATTCAGGAAGACGGTTCTCTTGTGAATCAGAGACAAAAAGAGCTGGAGGAAAGATTTGAACTTTGGTTTCTGTGGCACTTCTACTACATGGAATTTTGCCTCATTTCAAAAGTGGTGGGAGGAAGGCTGGGGACTTAGCTCAGTGGTTCTGCCACCTGCTTTGCAAATGCAAGGACCTGAGTTTGATCCCTGGTACCAAAAAAAAAATGTAGTCACAAAAGTGGTGGGAAGAACTATTGGTGGGAGTGTAGAATAGTGTGCAACCACTGTGGAAATCAGGGTGGATTTTTCAAAAAAACTACGTTTTTAAGGTCCCATTTGACCCAACTATTTCCCTGCTGGGTATCTTCCCAAAAGAATTAAAAGCATATGTGCACCCATATTTATAGCAGCACATTTTTTAATAGCTAAATCTTGGAAACAACCCAAATGCCTGTCAACTGGTGACTGGATAAAGAAGTATGTTTTTTTTTTAAATAAAATGGAGTATTAGTCAGCTATAAAGAATGAGAGACATTTATAGCTAAATGGATGCATAATGATCCAAGGATTTCGCTCAGCCACACATTAACTGCCTGGCAAGTGTGAGGTCTAAGTTCCATCCCTGGTACCAAAAAACAAAACAAAACAAAAAATAACAAAGCCCAAAGCAGATGTAAATGGATACATATCAAGGTCATACTCTTAAGTGAAATAAATAGGACACACGTGTAAATACTGAAGTGTCTCTCTGGTGTGAGAAGCTGAAAATGTAAATGAGGATCACAATGTATAACAGATAATGTGAAATAGGAATCAAAGGTTCAAAGGGAAGGGGAAGTAGGGGATAGGGAAAAGCAAAATAAGGGGAAGAAAAAACATGAAAACATAAAGAAAAGGGGGAAGGGTAGGAGAAAGGTAATAAGGGAAAAGAAAAAATAGGAGAAAATGAAAAAAATGGAAATAAAGTGTTTGTAAATGGGAAAGGGAGGAGGGGGGAAGGAGGGCAGGGACAAGGGGAAAAAATGAGAGCCAAGACCTGTCATGTAAAGGTACAAGATCCCAATGATGAATGTAACTGTACTGTGTACCTAAAATGCACCAATAAACTCAACGAGGAAAAAAAATAAGGAAAAGATGGAAACAAAGCTTTTGTAAAAAGGGAGAGGTGGAGGGATGGAAGGGAGGGAAGGGGAATGGGGAGAAAACAAGAACTAAGCTATATCGTGTACTGGTACAAAATTCCCAGGGATGAAGTTGATCATAATGTATACCTAAAATGTACCAATAAAGTTATTTTTTAAAAAAAGTGGTGGGAGGAGATGTGAGCTTGAGCAGTCTGGCTCTGGAGCCTGCACTCTTCTTAATCTTAATCTTGGTACTCTCCTCCAAAGCTGAGCATAGCCTCTAGGCTTCAGCATTCGTAGGTGGTCTAGTTGTAGAGCTCCTCGGTCATCCCTGTACCCTATCCTGAATGGAACGTGCAGAGTCTGTAACAAACTAGCACTGAGGGAATTTGGCAGGAGGTAAGGGCTGACCTGTTATACTGTTTTTTTGAAAAGGCTAAATAATTAATAATGAATAACTTTAAGAGACAAATGTGGTAATTTCCGAGGAGCACTACACACAATCCTGGCTAAACCAGCCACTCCCTGCACATAGGTCTGAATACTAAGCACAGGCTCACACACAGAAATGAAAAAAATGGAAATCTGGGCTTTTTATAAGCTGTGAAAATTTGCTTTTATTTAAGGCATTTTCATGAAAGTTACTCTTGCTATCCACAATACACACACACGTTTATTTGGTTTTAAGTCAAATAATATATTTTCTTTAGAAAACTCTCCAGTGTCAGAAGTTACTGGGAACAGATACTGTTTGTTGATACCATCCTTTTCCTCCTCTTCTTTTGCATTATCAAAGCTTCTTTAGAAATCAGAAGAAATCCCATTAGTGAGTCTGAGTATTATAGACCTACCAGAAAGCAGGCTGCCACAGCTTAAGTTTCTAAGAATTTCTGTGATCTTTTGGTCACATTGACAATAAAGCAGGGAAGGCAGGGTAAGGCCCAGAAAGAGATTGAAAGCAGCAGGTTTACTCAACCCACTGAAGGTATACTCGGTCCCTACCCACCCACCCTTTTCTGCCTCTTCAGAGATCACCCATGCTGTGCTTTGACTTAACCCAGAGTCAGCAGCACAAAGCTCCCACCGAGATCAGGTGCGTTCCCCATCAGTTTTCTACAGGAGGTCATGGTATTTAATAACCCAAGAAAAGTTTGGACCACTCTTGAAACCTGGTGGTAAAATAAAGGTATAAGTGCCCTGTGGGAGAGCAGGTGGGGAGGAGCTGGCATTTCCCACAGGCAGCTGTGCTCTTTGCTGAGCAGACTTGGAAGCGTAGCTTTAGGAAGCAGTGTGGATGGCTGATGAGACAGGCTGGTGTTTAACATCCACAGTCCTTTTTCATTTCTTGACTGCACAACAGTTTTAAAATTTTGTATATTTTATAAAAGGTATGGGTCTTTTTATTTTTAATTTTTCTAGTACATGGGATTGAACCCAGGGATTTATTATTATTATTATTATTATTATTATTATTATTGTCATTTAAAAATTTTTTAGACAGGGTCTTCCTAAGTTTTTCAGATGTCCAGGCTGGGCTTGAATTTGTGATCCTCCTGATGTAGCCTTTCAGAGTGGTGGGATTGCAGGTATTGTTGGTCTTAATGGGAACAAATCCATCCTAACAACTGGCACAACAGCTGATCCAACAAGGGCAGCATAGCAGAAGTGTAAAGTAAAGGTTTTGGAGTCAACTGGCTGATTCTGCCATGTACTGGCCGGAACCCGTGACCATGCTGGAACGGCCTCCTGAAGGTGGGTGCTCCCTCAAAAGTCTTCCTTCTCCTTTCTCAGGGAAGACCATCAAAGACTGCTCGTAAACAAGAAAGAAATTAAAAAAGACTGAAGGAGGCAGAGAGGAAGAGGTCTGAGAAGAAAATGAAAAGAGAACAGGGCTGTGCGAGCCAGTGACACTCACAGACAAAGCAAGGGTACCTCCTGACTATCTTCCCATTCCGTCAGGAGCCAGGCTCCTGACACTCACTATTCAGAAGCTCTGAACAACTCCTTAGAGGGACCAATTTTGATAATGCAGCAGACTCTCTAGTTTGCATTAGAAATCTGAGTCCAAGGGTATAACATGAAAGCTTGAAACCTTTTTTAGAGTTCTTGTTCAGAGGATAGCAAAACTACTCCCTCACCAATATTTTGGGGAACTAATGTATGGAATTTTCCTGCCTCCTATACTGCCGAAATAAACTAAATTCATAAACGTAATGTATTCAAATGGTAGAGAAATGATTTCCAAATGTTCTGATTCAGGGTTTTCTTTCTCATGTACTCTGCTTTTCTTCAACTTTGGAGAACTGCTAAAATGGCTATTTCAAAACACTTGGCTGGTACCAATGCACAAAGAAGTTAGTTCAAAACATGAAGGAATCTCCACTTGTGTGAGCCCACTGGGTACATAGGAGTCACTCTGGGGGTGCTGATTAACTAAAAGCCTGGAAAGGAACTCCTAGAATGTAACTAGGAATAGACCAACTTTCACTCAATTGATGGCCCCTATTGTCCATCCTGGTATAATTTTCTCACTCTCTGCTACGCTGCCCTCCAATTTATAGTCAAAGTTTATTTATGAGCCTGTAGTATTGATTAGTGAAGGTCAATATAACCCTGGAGCAGACACTGAGCAAATGGTTACTTCCTCCTTACCCTTCCCACCCACTCTCCACTTCTACGACCAAATCCCATCAGAAGAGGATTCCTTGCTGATTCACTGTAATGCTGAATGTACCTGGAAGGGGGCACATACCCTTCTCCCGAGGTTCTTCCCATCACGCCACGTGTAGGAGGAGCTGCTGGAGTACTCACTGCAGGCGCTGGAAAGAGACAGTTCACTGCTGCTGCAGCTGTTTCGAGGACAGAGACGACTGGGAACAACAACCCCCAAGCCGGGGCATCTCAAGGTAGGGGTTCCTGATTTTGCATTCAGTTGTTGTTTCTGAAAAAGCAGGATGGCCGTAAGCAAGGGTGTGACTCAGGGAAAAATGAATACTAACTAAGCCTCACAGTGAGTTAGAGGGAACACAGGAGAGTGGTTAGAAGAACAGACATTGGAGTCAGACAGACTACAGGCTCAAATTCTGAATCTGCTTCTTGCTGTGTGAACACGGGGAAATTATTTAACTCTTACGAACACATTTTCACTTAGGGGAATAATGACAAAACTGTGTATCTTACTCGGGATATCAAAAGGATTAAACGAAGTTCTGTATGTGAAGCCCATAGCACCTTGTCCGGCCTATGGCACGTGCTGAATCATTGTCAGCTGCCATCACCATTAGGCAAAAGTGCCACCCTGGTGGTTTCTCATTTTTATTGAATGATCCTGGTATTCAGATCAATACCAAAATGTGACTAGAGGGCTGAGCGTGTAGCTCAATGGTAGGCCACTTTGCCAAGAGGTGTGAAGCCCTGTGTTCAATCCCCAGCAGGCCAAAACAAAACAAAAACACCATAAAATAACTTGAATGCTATAAATGGAATCCAGAACAGCATCCTTATTTATAAGGCTCAAGAGCATAAGCACTAGACTGCCGGTCTAGCACTTGAGATCAGGCTACCCACTGCCACTAAATATGTGATCCTGAGTAAAGAAGACATTCATTTCTTTTTTTTTTTTTTTTGGTACCAGGGATTGAACTCAGGTCCTCCCACTTGCGAGGCAGGCCATGGAACCTCTAAATCCCCGCCTCCCCTATTTTTTTTTGTATTTTTGATGAAGACATTAATTTCCATGCACCTTAATGCTTTTATTTGTAAAATGGGGCAGCTCTACTGGATTTTCCCTAAAGTTTCCTTAGAAGAGGATTATGTCACTGTTAGCCATAGAACGTGCGTGCACATCTGTGCCACCTTCTGAGAATCCATGCACCGTACACAACAAACTTAGGCATCGCGAGCCTCTTCTGTAAAAGATAGCCAGACTTTTCCCATCTAGTTGGCTGCCCAAATGGCAAAAACCCAACGTCTAACAGAAGTGGGTCCTGGCTGTTAGAATGCTAGTGGGTCTGCATAAGGCGAGGGTGACAAATGAGATGTAAACACCCAAGCACATCTTGACAGCTGCATCATAGGCCCCTCATGTAACAGATGAAGCTCCACAAACTGGGCAGGCTAAATTAATTTAACAACCCAACCACTGAGAATAGAATCTCTCTATTACCGTCTAATTCCAGCCTCCTATCTATATAGAGCTTTGTCTCAGAAACCCTTTGATGGGGAGCCATCTGTCTTTATGTCACTTGCAGAAGACCAAGGCCTTTTTCTTATGCAGTTTATTGGCTCTTTCTGGGTGCCTTTAGTACCCGAGTACTTATCACTGTTTTCCAAATGCAATTCCAACTGACGGCGACTAAACAGCGGCTTGGAGAGGAAGGTAATGAGGATATGAGAGTACTTGTGAGAAACATTAAACCCCACATAAGTACAAAAGGCATGTTTGATTTGCTCTCTGATCAACAACCATGCTTGATAATGCTAGATTTCATCTGCCTTACTATCAATACTTTACTTTTGCTGTGAACAATTTAAGTGATCTACTAAAATGCCAAGAATTTTGACTACCCTATTTTCTTCCTTAAAATTTGGCTCTAAATATCAATGAAAACAGAAATGTGTTTTAAAAATCCAGCTTTCACCAGTATGTATTGATTTACTTCCTTGTTTACTGCCAGATATAACTTAGTTAAGGGAGTTCATATTTGTATCTCAACAGATGGCCACAACGGATAGCTGTGTCTTACAGGAGCTGACTGTTTTTAAGCCTTGCTATACTGTACACATCTAGAATGCACACTGAACACACGTTAAGAAATATCAGTTTAGCCTAACTTTTATTTGTGTGCTTTCCAGTGCCTCCATCCGATTTCTTCATATTTTGTTTGAATAATCAGGTTCATGGTTGTTCATGGTTAGGGTTGCTTCTGCTCTATTGGACATGTCCACTCTCCAGCGAGATATTGTGTCTTTGTCCTGCCAGCTGACCCAGAGTTAAACACCTCTGATGTTTTTCATTCTTTGCTCTGCTTTCAGCAACAGTTTACATTCTGCGTTTTCCCATGGAACTGAGGTTTGTATGTGATTCCGTCTTTCACACCTGTCCCATCCCGGGGCATCTATCAAATTATACTTACTTTAAACACTAAACTCAATCCCCAGCTCTCTGTTAATGCATTGCCCAGCCATCAGCTATGTGTGTACCCCTACACATCAAAGCGACAGGAAACCAAGAAGTCAGGTTGGGGCACGAAGGAACTGCTGGCTCTAAACTCAGCCTGGAACTTGAGGCGGATGTGATGGGGAGCCTTCCATGAGGCGGGCAAGCCTGTCAATGTCACGTGAGACAGGCGTGGAGTAGTTAAGCAGAGTCATGTCTTCTAAGAGATATTTTTCACGTTTTAATGCACATATGCGTGAGCACCGAGAGATCTTGTTAAAATTCTAATTCTGTATTTCACAGTGATTCTGCAGTAGGACCTGAGATACATGTACTATTTTTAACAAATGCTTAGGTTATTTGATGTTGCTAGTCTGTGGCTCATCCTTTGAAAGCAAGTTTCTACGACAAGTTAGGAGAGAGGTCAGTCTCCCATGAGGGTTCCTTGGCTGTATACTGCGTCTTCTCACAGTCTGACCTGAGCAGTGCTGAGCAGAGGAGGGGACAGCTGAGCCCACGCATGGGCCAGTGCCTGAGGGAAAGGTGAGTATATGTGAGTGGCACAGTTACTAAAGAATTCCTTGCAAAGAAAAGGGGCTACTCTTCCTAAGGAAAATTCTCTCCCCTTGGACAATTGAGGTCTGAATGTAGTTAATGAAGGGCCCAGAAGAGAACCTCTGACATATCCTTGCTGCCATGTGTGAGCTCTTTTTTCCAGAGGTTTCGTTCATCAGCAGCATGATCATGAAGGATTGTCTACTCTGGTGAAGAACTGCTCCCAGGTGAGGGCGTGAAGTCCAAGGCCATTTATGAAGTTAAAATCCTGCCTCTTCTACTTGTTAGTCTTTGATAGTAGCAAAAATTACTTAATGGCTGTGTTTCAGTTTAGTTCTTTGTAAATAAAGGTAAAGGAAGCCCCTACTACACAAGATAATTGTGAGGATGCAGTCACACTTGGCATGTGCTTAGGCACTCCTAAGTATTGTGACCATTAAACAAACACACACACACACACACACACACACGTGTGTGTGTGTGTGTGTGTGTGCTTCTTGGCTAAACCATAATTTCCTAGTCTCTCTAAAGGACCTGTCTTACAATTCTTAATGTCCCTTTATTATCTAGTATCTTGCTCATAAGTGGACAAATGGCTGTATTGGATAATCATAAGAAATCGGTGTACTTTGTTCTCTGGGATCACTTATGGGAAGTTCTAAAGAGACTTACTTGTAGACAACTATTTCAGTTATCATTTCCAAATTTGCCATGTTTTGCTGTGGCTGTGGTTGATGCCACATATTAAAAGAGAGCAGAAAAGGCCTAAACTAACAGAGATCTCCTATTAGTAGGAACTGTGCTACACACATTTCAGTTGCTACCTCATGTCCTCCTTACCACAACTTTTTAGAGCAGAAAAGAAACACCCTTATCCTCATTTTCTATGTGGGAAATTGGAGCCATTGAAAATTTGCTATCTTGCCTGGGCTCACTCAGCCAAAACAACATGTTAATGCCAGGCCAAAGACCCAGCCATCTTACTCTAATGCCAAGTAAAACCCCTTACAGCCAGCAGAACTGCCAGAAATACATAGGACACTAAAGTCCCAGTGAATACAGCTGTCAGTAGTAATAGATAATGATTACTATTAATATTCTCCTATGTTAAAAAGTGCATATTGGCTTCCATTGGAACATTATCTTAATTATGTTGGTCTAACTGGCAAAATCCATCCTCTTTGCCCTATCCAAAGTATCTTTTTCTTTATGTGTATTTTAGATTGCTACCCTAAATAACTCACATGCTTTAACATTCACACTGAGAGAAATGTAAAATAAAACCTACAATTTTAATTTAAAAAATTAGAAAGGTAAAGAATGAAGCCAAGAGCGTTTTGAATAATAATTGCACACTTAAAAGATTTCTGACCTCAAGGCCGTATTATAAATTAGATGTCATTAGGTCTCTATGTATGTTTTAAGTGACAGCAGTCCTCTGAAATGTAATTCCAATTTAACTTAAGAATATTTACCTTTGATATAGAATAACCTATCTGAAACTAACAAAATTACTCAGTAAAATAGAAACCCAGTTATCTGCAAATGTTCATGTCATTTTCTTAAGTGTTTATATGACTGGTGTTTTTTTCAAGTTACTCATTTTAAGTCAGTGAGACTTAAGAGCCATGCTGGTTAGAGTTTTGCCAAATAAGCACAAAGCTAACCCCAGCTGAAGAAAAAAAAAAGCAGAGCCCATGAATTTTTAAAAGTTCATACATAATATATCATAAAAGTAGGATGAATAATATGGGACACAGCCTTTAATAAAAAGATCCTTGACAATCTCTCAGAGACTCTGAGATATAATCAATACCCAAAAAGGTATCTTGGGGACAAAGGCAAGATTTATGACATTTTTGCCGAGAGTGACACTTTCTGCTTACTATATCAGTGGGGGACATGATATTGAATTTCAGAGAACACAAGAAAGGAAGGTATTTTTATCTGTCTGACAAAGCTTCAAGGATGCACTTTATGGTTCATTTGTGACATCATATTTGATGGGAAAACAATAACAACCTAAGCAAGTGCTCCGAAGGCGAATAGGAAGCTCACATTCAGCTCCGTATCTGCTCGAGACTGTGCCGGATTCTGGCTTCTTTGCACGTCTGAGAGCAAGTCCCCAGGAGAAAGGTCTAAGGTATGTGAGTGAAGTTTCTAGGTAACACCAAGCAGAAATGGGAAAGAACAGTATTTTAATTGTTTCAAAATCCTTCTTGGGGCCT